CATTTTCATTTCTTGGGTAAATACATAAGAATGGGACCATGGACTTTCTGGATCATAGGGAAGATATATATTTAACTTTATGGAAACTTCCCAACAGTTCCCTAGTGTAATTATATCATTTTACACTCCCACCAGGAAAGTAGGAGAGTTCCAGTTGCTCTTCTCCTTGCCAACATTTGGAACTGCCCATCTTTTAAAGTTGTAGACATTCCAGTGGGAATATGATTGTATCTTATTGTGTTTTTAATTTATACTTCCCTCATGACTAACATTATTGAATTGCTGGAAGTTTGTACTTACTCATATTTTTGTCTGTTTACCCCACTAGAATATAATCGCTATGGAGATTATCACAGAACCCTGCTTGGCAGTTTCAGGCTCTGGTAAATCATCAAAAACGTTAAGGTCAAGTGACTATTTGGACAGAGATGTAGCAGCAGGCTGATAAATTGATCTAGACATGAGAGGAAAGGTAGAAACTAATTCAGGATGGCAGAGGCTCCCTACTGGGCAAGGATCAGGAGTAGAGGAAGGAGCTGAAGAGCAACCAGGTAGCATAGAGTTGGTGGAGAGGAACCTAGGGGTACAAATGAACCAGAACTTGAGTGAATTCTTAGAGTTGAAGTGCAGAAGCCAGAAGCACACGCCATGCACTACAAAGAAACTATAAAAAGGTGAAGAAGCAATGCAGCCCAAGATATAAAGAGTCTTTAAAATATTCTTAACATGAACAAGGCCCTTAGTTCAATGGCCAGCACTGAAAGAAAAAAAAAGTTCTTACCAAGGGATGTCCAATCAAGATGAGTGTGAGCTTACACTCAACCTGTGATTTTACAGCAATGCAAAAGCAATCTGCATTCACTAGGTACCATACTTCAGATTTTGAATTTGGATCTTTTCCTGGGCTGGCAAGGTAAGCTCCCATTCAGCCATGTGAGCAGAAGAGAAAACTACCACACTCTGCAGTGCACTGTATTTCTAAGCTAGAATGTACAGTAGCTTGAGTGCGATCAGTGCACTCTCAACCTAGGATGTTTTCAAGGTAAGATGGGTGTATCCAGATGTGACCCCATTATAAGTTAAGGAGCCCCACTACTCCCTCATACACTTAGAAATGCAAGGTAAAATAGTTTTTAAAGGTTGTATGAATACATTACTGAGCTCAAAACAAGAAAAGGCACTTTTTCTAGGTGCTAGAATGAGTGGTGAGTGAGGGTGAGTCCATGTGACCTGAATTCAGTCTAACTCTGAGGAGCTGGAGTTTTAGCACACTTCCAGGCACCAGGGCTGAGGCGATGGAAGCCCTATGTATCAAGAAAGCAGGAATTGTTTTTGTTTTGTTTTTTGGTGGGACTGGGGTTTGAACTCAGGGCTTCACACTTGCAATGCAGGCGCTCTACCACTTGAGCCACACCTCCAGTCCTTTTTGCCCTGGTTATTCTGGAGATGGAGTTGTGCAAACTATTTTCCCAGGCTGGTCTTGAACCACAAGCCTCTGATCTCAGCCTCCCAAATATCTAGGATTATAGATATGAGCCACTGGTGCCCGGCTAAGGGAGCAGGGATTGGATTCTTTAGTAAAGAAATTTCAAGTCCAGAAGTTACACTAAAAACTGGTTCCCAATTGATAAATGTCATACAGTCCTGGCAGGAACAACTGCAGAATTCCATAATTGCTGCAGAGGAATGTCTCTATATCCCACAGCACACACACAGCTTTACGCAAGATCATTCTTGTTGAAGATAATCAACCAGCAAGTATCCCAAAGCCCACAAGGAGAAATCCTGCCCAAGTTACTTCTGATATAGCCCAGTACGAAAGGACTTACATAGGGACTGGGGATGTAGCTCAGTGGTAGAGGGTTTGATCAGAGAGAAAGGAAAGGAATTATGCAGTAAAATGGACAAGAAGAATAGAAACCATAAAGAAAGAATGGAACTCACTGAAGTTGATGGCTTTGCTAAAGAACCAAATAAAAATCCTTAGAACTAAAAATACAGCTATAGGGCTAGGATGTAGCTCAGTGGTAGAGAGCTTATCTAGCATGTGCGAGGCCTTGGGTTCGATCCTGGCACCAAAAAAGAACAATACAACCATAGAGACCCTCTGGTTCCCTTTCCCATTGGATCTGAATGCTGAAGTCTTGGTGGTCATAAAAGTAGGGAAAGCAAGGCTGACGCTCGCCCCACAGCATTGCAATCTGGCATATAGCATGTTGGGCTAGTTTCAAACAGGATTGAGTTCTCTTTGAACTTGTTTCCTCTTCTCTTGTAAAATGGGGATAATCTTCAGACTAGAGGGAAGATGAACATGACTTTTGCACAGGTAGTGTTCTGATTGCTGACTGATACTATATTTGGACGTTTTCTTTGATAAGAGAGTACCTTTTTTTTTTTTAACCGGTAAAGCAACCTCATCTGATTATTAGTCTACAGAGTTTGGAGAGAAATGTCAGAGGAAGGGAGAGGCAGGCAAGAAAAGTCTTACTGTTGAAAACAGTAAGCTCTGCAAACAGAAAAACCATACAGCTAACTCTGTATCTGGTGTACACCTATAACTGTAGGTGACTGATGAGAGCCTTTGGAAGTGCTAGAGAATACAACCATAGAAATTTAAAAAAATCTGAAAGCATATGATGAAATGTCCAATAATTGTATTTCTAGGAATTTATCTTGAGACATAACTAGGAATTTATCTTGAGACATAACTAGGAATTTGAACAAAGATTTCCATACAGGTATTTAGAACAGAAAAACTGGAAGTGACCCAAATGTTCAATAATGGAAGAATGGGTGATGACATCATGAAACGAAAGGAAAGAGTGCGAGTCTTGGTGTCACGGTGACCTGGGTTAGAATTATGGCTCCTGGGGAATGGGAGGGAAGGGGGATAGGGAGAGTAATGGAAGGGGTTGAAGGACCAAAGTAAAGTATTCTCACAGCAGGGATACATCGAAAAACCCCTTTGAACACCGACTTAGAAATTAATAATGAAAGACAGGACTATAAAATAGGTACAGTGTGGGGGGGTTACTTACAGGAGTGGGAAGGGTAAATGGAGGAGATTGAGGTGAGGGAATATGGTTTTACCTGTATGAAATAGAACAATGGAACCTCTTGCAATTGTTTGAAGTAGGGTGGTGAGGGGGCCGGGGCTGGGGATCTAACCATGTATAATATAATATAAGCCTATTTGGAATTGTCACAATGAGTTCCCCCTGTACAACAAACATATCCTAATAAAATTTTTTAAAAAGAAAGACAAAATGTAACATGATTAAATGGGTCTAAAGGGACATTAAAATTGGATGCTACAAAAACAGACATGAAGACCAGTGGAACAGAATAGAAGATCCAGATATGAAGCCACACAACTATAAGCAACTTATCTTTGACAAAGGAGCTAAAGATATATGATGGAGAAATAGCAGCCTCTTCAACAAAAACTGCTGGGAAAACTGGTTAGCAGTCTGCAAAAAACTGAAACTAGATCCATGTATATCACCCTATACCAAGATTAACTCAAAATGGATCAAGGATCTTAATATCAGACCCCAAACTCTTAAGTTGATACAAGAAAGAGTAGGAAATACTCTGGAGTTAGTAGGTATAGGTAAGAACTTTCTCAATGAAACCCCAGCAGCACAGCAACTAAGAGATAGCATAGATAAATGGGACCTCATAAAACTAAAAGCTTCTGTTCATCAAAAGAAATGGTCTCTAAACTGAAGAGAACACCCACAGAGTGGGAGAAAATATTTGCCAACTATACATCAGACAAAGGACTGATAACCAGAATATACAGGGAACTTAAAAAACTAAATTCTCCCAAAACTAATGAACCAATAAAGAAATGGGCATGTGAACTAAACAGAACTTTCTCAAAAGAAGAAATTCAAATGGCCAGAAAACACATGAAAAAATGCTCACCATCTCTAGCAATAAAGGAAATGCAAATTAAAACCACGCTAAGATTCCACCTCACCCCTGTTAGAATAGCCATCATCAGCAACACCACCAACAACAGGTGTTGGCGAGGATGCGGGGAAAAAGGAACCCTCTTACACTGTTGGTGGGAATGTAGACTAGTACAACCACTCTGGAAAAAAATTTGGAAGCTACTTAAAAAGCTGGACATCGATCTACCATTTGATCCAGTAATACCACTCTTGGGGATATACCCAAAAGACTGTTACTCCAGAGGCACCTGCACATCCATGTTTATTGCGGCACTATTCACAATAGCCAAGTTATGGAAACAGCCAAGATGCCCCACCACTGACGAATGGATTAAGAAAATGTGGTATCTATACACAATGGAATTTTATGCAGCCATGAGGAAGAACGAAATGTTATCATTCGCTGGTAAATGGATGGAATTGGAGAACATCATTCTGAGTGAGGTCAGCCTGGCCCAAAAGACCAAAATCGTATGTTCTCCCTCATATGTGGACATTAGATCAAGGGCAAACACAACAAGGGGATTGGACTATGAGCACATGATAAAAGCGAGAGCACACAAGGGAAGGGTGAGGATAGGTAAGACACCTAAAAAACTAGCTAGCATTTGTTGCCCTTAATGCAGAGAAACTAAAGCAGATACCTTAAAGCAACTGAGGCCAATAGGAAAAGGGGAACAGGTACTAGAGAAAAGGTGAGATCAAGAAGAATTAACCTAGAAGGTAACACCCACGCACAGGAAATCAATGTGAGTCAATGCCCTGTATAGCTATCCTTATCTCAACCAGCAAAAACTCTTGTTCCTTCCTATTATTGCTTATACTCTCTCTACAACAAGATTAGAAATAAGGGCAAAATAGTTTCTGCTGGGTATTGGGGGGGGTAGAGGGAGGGGGCGGAGTGGGTGGTAAGGGAGGGGGTGGGGGCAGTGGGGAGAAATGAACCAATCCTTGTATGCACATATGAATAATAAAAGAAAAATGAATGAACCAAGCCTTGTATGCACATATGAATAATAAAAGAAAAATGAAAAACAAAATTGGATGCTATATGGAAAAAAGAAGAATTATGACTTGCAGCTGTGAGTCTGGACAAATAATGTAGCCTTTCCCAGTTTTAACCAGGAACACCAGTAGCTACCTTCCAGGCTGGTTGGGGGGTTCAGAGAGGATGGCTGGTCACCCGGTAGGTAGACAACCCTTCTTAACTTACAGCAGTTGCTATCAGTATACTACTACAGTGGAATGCTAGGATCATTAATGTGCTGGCCAGAGAATTTCAAGTGGTCTGGGAATAAAAAAGCACTCGCTGAATACTGAAGTATATGAGTGACAGGACCTTAGGTGAGCCTCAGGAAAGAATGGATATAGACAAAGGAAAATTCACCCAAGCATTTTCAGTGATCATCTCTGGGTAGAGGAATAATAGGTGGTTTTCATCTTCCTCTATGCCTTTCTCTTCTGCCCAAGTCTATGCATTACAAACCATGTACATCACCACCTAGCTCGAGGGGAAGTCTTTTTCACTCATCTTGTTGCCTTGGGAAAACAAACTAGTCTTACTTACTGCTGGGGATGCAATTCAGCCAGGCCCTGAAGCTCCAGGGTCAGCTGTTGACTAAGTCCAACCTGGAGTGCTGTTACCTGAAGTTGTAGCCAGGGTACAAGGACTCATTGGTGCTCTTGTCGTCCAGGCGGCGGAAACTATATTTAGGATGGCAGTGATGGGACCAGCTGTCCAGGTTGCAGTCCCAGTAGATCTCAATGCCCATGATTCCTCCCTGGGGTGGGGGTGGGGGTCAACAAGAGAAGTCTCTGAGTCTGCTGGATCTGCCTATGCAACCCCCAAACATCCTCTGCATAGCAGTCATGCTGGAGGAAAGGTTTTCTTTTAAGAGGAAAAATCCTGATGAAAGGTTTCAGAGACATAAATGAGAGTTCCATTACCAGGGCAGCTTCAGAACCATCTCCCTGCTCTCCTTCCTGCCTGGGACGCACCTCCCTTAGACTTATTCCTCAAATACAAGTTTCAACAAACCATTCCTGCCCTCAAACACCTATAATGCCCACCCCCACCTTAAAGATCAACTGGTTAGACTGGAATGCTGGAACTCTTCCAAATACCTTTTCTGCTTTATCTCTCCATAGTTCCTCAGGGAAAGCCCCCGGCAGAGGTGAGCAAATTAAGGCTCTGGAGATGGAGAGGTTATCCAGGTGGCCTTTACCTTGCTCCTCTTTAACCTCCCCCCCTCCTAAAGATAAGGTGAGGGTTTTTGTTGTTGTTTTGTTGTTCTTTAAGAGAGAGACATGGGGGAATTCCATAGAGAATAGTCAATGTGAGAGCCACATATGGTAGTATGTGCTTATACCCAGCACTTAGGAGGCAGAGGCAGTTTCGAGGCCAACATGAGCCCCATGGTGAGACCCTGTCTAAAAAATAATCGAAAAAAACAAAAGAAGAATCAACATGACCACCAAGGCGCTTAACTGATGGAGGAAGGAACTGTCAACCAAGAAAGGAACTGAGCTCTGGTGGAAAAGGCCAAAATGTGCATTCTCCCCCATAGCCGCCAGAGGGAGCACGGTCCTGCTCATGCCTTGAGTTTGGCTCTGGGAAACTGTGTACTTGTGACCTCCAGAAGCAGAAGAAAACACGTGTTCTTTTGTTCTTTTAAGTCACTGCCTTTGTGGTAATTTGTCACCACAGCCACAGGAAAATAACATCCCAAGTAGCTCACACAGGGACGTGCGATTAGATAAGGAATGCTGGAAAGGCCCTTGGTGCCATGCAATAATAAATATGAGCCATATTTTTAGGACCTAGCGTCCCTTCCTGCTGGTCATTTGACATCCACCATCCTCTGACATACATCCCTCTGTACAAAGACACCACCAACCTGAATTGCCACGTCTGAAAAGTTGTCTCCTGTTTCCCAGAAGATATCTCCTAGTCGGAAAATGGGACACTGTGGATTCTGAGTCTTGTGAAAGGTACAAGTGATATTCAAATTTGGCAAGATGTTTCTCCTGCACAGAAGTGAAAGCAAACAAACATCTCCACTGCAGACAGATCCAGCTCTCATCTGCTTCCTGGGGACCCCTGTGGAGTGGCCTCTCACACTGTAGTACGGTCAGTCTGTGTGACCAACAGCATACAGTAGGAGTGTCATGGCATCATTTCCAAAGACTGCAGTTTCCATCTTGGTTATTGTTTTGCTCACCTGCTCTCTTGTATCCCTTACTCTGGGGAAGTCAGCCACCTGGCTCGCAGAGCCAGGTAAACCTGGTGTTGACTGTGACCCCAATTGACACTTGACTGCAACCTATAAGACCCTGAGTCAGAACCACCCAACAAAGACATTTCCAGATTCCTGATCCATGGAAACTGTGGAGGGAATAAGCCTTTATTATTTTAGGCTTCTTAGGTGTGGATCATTTGTTATACAGCCACAAATAACTTTAACAGCCAGACCTTCTGGGTACTTACGTGGTGTAGTTGTGCCCAGGGAAGTCGATATTGTTCTTAATGAGCACAGTGAAGTTTTCAGCACTGCTCAAAAGTGCAGGCCTGGGAGAGAGGAATGAGGATCAGGGACCGCAGACAGAGGAAGTCACTGGGCCAGCAGGACTGGAGACTTCTGGTTTTGGGCTTAGGCTTTGGAGCGAGTGAAGAGAAGTGGATACAGCAACCTTCCAAAGGGTAAAACCTCTAGCTTCTCCAAGAATTTCTCCCTTCTTGAGACCCCATAGCACAAAGTGTGTCACTTTTGACACTCTGATATAATTCTGTGCTTAGATATGTGTGGTGTCTTGGTAAATGTTTAACAGCTTTCTAGGGAAAAATAAGAAAAGGCCTGATATGTACCATTTTCTGATGATCATGGTGTTAATACTCCCACCATGGCTGGTTTCCAGCTCCCAACAGGACATTGTTGAACTTGAAGTTGGGAAGGGAGGAGCATCAGCAATATTGGCCAGCACTAACACACTCCTATACGTACATATAGGTACATATATGTGTACATAGGAGGCCATAGAGCAGGCCTGAATTCCAGTAAGGATGGGACAATAATTTTTGTATCTTGGCCTTCCCAGCCTTTAGCACAGGGCCACACTGTATCAGTCAGTCCCTACGGGCTCTGAGTACTGTACAATTCAACATGAGTTAGAGGAGCCCAAATTCCAGACCACGGGAAGGCCACCCCCCCATCTATCCATTTACCCATTCATTCAGCAAATATTTATTGGACTGGGCATGGATCTTGACACTGAGATAGAGAAATGAGTAAGACAGTCATCATTTTTTACCTTTTTCAGTTGATAGTCTATGAAAGATGGAGAAAACTGGCTAAGGAGAAAAGGATACAGCTGTTTCTGTTGCCTGGCATACCTCTGTACCAGCAGGAAAGAAAGGGTAGATGGTTATTTGGAAGGGGGCTCCAAGAATGGTCTGCTGTTTATTCCAGGATTTTGGAACCTGACTTTGGCTCTGTCTGAGCTATAGCTATTGTGAACACTCACTGTCATTTTTGTCTGTTTAGCATCTATTCCCTCTTTTGGCAATATAACCTCCATATCTTCCCTTTGGGGACGCCAGCTCTCTTCCATTCTACCCAGAGGCCCGGGTAGGGGTGACTCCACCTCCTATCCCTGCCCATGCTCCTGCATGGGCGGGCACATGACCTAGGCCTGGCTAAACTGATCCATTCCCCTTGACCCTAGTGATTGGTCTGTAGATAGTCACTGCCTTAGTTAGGTCAGCGAAAACAGTCCAGGGTGTTTGTGGGAACAACTTGGAAAGAGAAACTCATTTTTTCTGGGGTTATTAGTAGTAAGAATAGTGTAAATCTAGAATTCCCTGACCCACACTGTGATGAAAGTCAAAATAGAAGAAAGATGACTAAGAGAGGGGTGGGAGAGGGAAGAAAGACTCTTACTGACCTCATTTGAGGTCTGGATCAAGCCTTGCCTGAAGCCAGTAACTCTGGATATCTCACTTAAGAGTCACTTTTGACTCACTTAGAGTCAAAATCACAAGCCAAAATATAATGCCCCCTCTTTTTCTGAAGCTAAAGCTTAATATATAAAGTTGAATTTATTTTATTTTTTTTATTCATTTATTCAGATGTGCATACATTGTTTGGGCCATTTCTCCCCTGAGTTGAATTTTTATCACTTGCTTTAGAAAAAATCTTATTTACAAATGCCTGCGGTGTGCTGGACTCTGTATTAGAACATTCTAGACTTCCTGAGCAAATCTCTAAAAGACTGCAGGGCCTTGAAACTTGAAGGGTCAAAGCTCTTCATTCCTCCACATGACATTTGTAACTTTCTATCTTGACTTGCAGCTCTCTGTGCGTGTGTCTTCTCTCCATCGCTAGCCTGCAGGAGCCTGGAGCCTGTGCCTCATCTGGGACTTCTTGTATTTTACATAAAACTTAGCAGCCACTTGTGTGTTGTTACATATGAAATAAACATCTAACACCTATCTGGCAGTGGATTTGTTGAATAAGCAAATGGTTAATTGAACCATCTCAGCTAATTCACGTAACAGATGAGGAAACTGAAGTTCATATTGTTGCTTGCCTAAGGTCATGTCAAAATGCAGCCCAAGAAACCAGGTCTGGGGGTGCATGCCTGTAATCTCAGCACTCAGGAGGCTGAGGCACGAAGATCTTGAGTTCCAGGCCAACCTGGGCCACAGAGTGAGCCCCCATCTCAGAAAATGAAACAAAACCAAACAAAACCCAGAAACAGTATTTACCTGATGAATGAATTGGTGGCAGGGCAAGTCAAAGGGCCCCCGGTCTACTTGGGTGTAGGTTGGTGTCCCACCCACAGCTGGGCAGTGCCTTCTGCGACAAAGAAACTTCCCTGGCCTAGAAATGAACCTGGACTAACAACTGAGGGCCAGACAGGGTGGGACTGCCAAGTGCATCCGCCCTGATTGGGGACCTTTGCCTGAGCCGCCACACGTCAGCTCAGCAGACAGCTTTCTCTTTGCCCAAGTCGCGCTGGTCTGGGTAGCCATAGGCTCGTGTAGCTATTAAATTGAAATTTAACAAAATTAAAATGGAGTCCCTCGGTTGCTGTAGCCACGGTTCACACTCTGAATACCCACGGGTAGCTGGTGGCTGCCATACAAGACAGCACACGGGTACACATTCCCGTTGTTCTCTTGGATAATTGGGCCAGAATCATTTCAGATTCTAAAATTCAAATGTGTGAGGCAGGCATGCGTCTCGCTTTATCCAAACTGGGCGACTACCATCTCATCTAGTCATTACAGCAGCCCTCTGAGATACGTGCAGTTACTATTCTCATTTTATAGATGAGGCTACTGCCGCTCAGAGAGGTTCAACCATTTGCCCAAGGTCGCCCAGCAAAGATGTGTTAGAGGTAGGAGTTGGACTTCAGTCTTTCTAATTACTGTCGGCTGAACTGCATCACCTGTGTGGTTTTTGAGACCTCACATCCTGACCTGTGTTAAAAAAGAGACTTAATCTATATGTCCTGAGAGCATTTAATTTGACAAAATTTGCTTCTCCTTCCTTCCTCCTTCCCTTTCTCCCTCCTCTTTCGTTTGTCTCCCTTCCTCCCTCCCTCTCTGCCGCTCTTTCCTGCCCTTAATCTCTCAGCATCAGCACAGACAGCGAGAACAAACGCTGCTGCGGCAGTCTAGGACAGGTTTGGAGCAGCTGTGGTGGACGGGGGCACAGAAGGTCACTCCCTGGAGTGACTCCCAGCTAGCACAGAACTATTCCAGCATGCTAGCAGCTGGCACAGCCTTCCCACAGACACCGGTTTGTGCCCAACAGTGTGCCTGGCACAGGAGTCCCCAAGTCAGTGAAATTGAGGACTTTGCAAAGCTGCATTGATCAGGGAAAGCCTGAGCAATCTGGCAAGGCCTCCCCTGCTCCCTGCTGAGGGCCACGGGTCTGCCCGCACCCACCCATGCAACTCACCGGGGGGGATCCTCCACCGCCTCAGTGGGACACCAGGCAGAGACTTCACAAGTCTTCTGGCTCCCTTTGTACGCTATACACCTGCCGGTCTGGATTCCTATGGGGCCAACAGGTCGCAGAACCACAGAAGTGAACAGACTATGGAGAGGAATTTCTGCAAGGGGCATCATGGGTTCAACACAAGCAGGAGACTTTGTGCTTTTCAACCCAAGTAGCTTCTGCTTCCCTGAGCCCTGTCCTTACCATACACAGATCCCAGGCAAAGTCATCAAGCAAAACACTGAACTGTAAGCCTTTAGAAAGGACCAAGAGAGCACAGAGTCACTGGAGTTGTGGCCTTTTGGCTTCTTTACAAGGAGAGATGCCCAAGAGGGGGACTGAACATGTCTCCTCTCACAGCGGCACATGGACTGGAACTTGGTTTCTCATATGGGCATCTGAGTCCACGGAGGGCACACAGCCTGGGTGGGGACATTCAAAGCCATGGGATGCACATGGGCATCTTTCTGGTGTGTCAGGAAGAGAGGGAGCGCTGACTAAAGGCAAGCCGTGTCAAAATGATCTCTGTACTAACTCCCACGTACTCATATTATGGAATAGAATGGAACATTCTTAACCTTTCTGTGAGTGCGTGTGTTATAACCACCGATGGGGTTTTCTTATTTATTTATTTTCCTCCTATGTCTTTTTAAGCTAAGACATGAGATAAGGCCATTCTGCAGGTTACTGTGAGTTTTGTCCTCCAGTCCCTTAGGGGTTCGTGCTCCTCTGCCGTTGGGGGAGTTCAGGGGAAGGTTTAGAATGCCCAGGTGATGTGATAGGCCTTTTGATTTTTCTGCCAATTAGACTCTGAGCAAACCAGGTTTGGAGGAGCTTCTGTCACTGGGAAATTGGAGTCACATTCACAGGCTGCAGCAGGACTGCCCGGGACAAAGCCAAGGCACGGGGCAGACACAGGCTCATGATGGAAGAAGACAACTGATAGTCAGAAACTAAGGACCCGAACTGGGCTCAAGAATGTCACCAAGATGCCAGATCAACCACCCCCGCAGGCTCAGGAACAGGCACAGAAGGTACCTTTGCTTTGCGGGTCCATCCATCCCTTTTTACAACCCCGGTCAGAGGAACAGAGTGTCCTGCGGGTGGGATACTGCAAAGAGAAGGACAGGAGTGAGGAGTGAGCAACGTGTGTCACTAAGATATGGAGAATCAATGTCCACGTCCACACAAAAGCCTGTATGCCAGTGCTCATCACAGCACTACTCGTGATAGCTAAAAAGTAAAAATAAAACAAACATCCATCTGTGGATGAGTGGACAAATAAAACGCACATTCAGGCCAGGCGCTGTGGCTCACGCCTGTAATCCTACCAACTCAGGAGGCAGAGATCAGGAGGATTGCGGTTCAAAGCCAGCTCAGGCAAATAGGTTGTGGGACCCTGTCTCAAAAACACCTATCACAGATAAAGGTCTGGTGGAGGGACGCAAGGTGTAGGTCCTGAGTTCAAGCCCCAGTACCGCAACAACAACAACAACAAAACCACACATTTATATATGGAATCTTATTCAGCCGTGAAAAGGAACAAAGCACTGACACATGCTGCAATGTGGATGAACCTTGAAAACATGAAGCTGAGGGAAAGAAGCCAGACACAGAAGGCCACACACTTATGACTCCATTTATAAGAAATGTCTAGAACAGACAAATCCATAAAGACAGAAAGCAGATTGGTGGTTGCCAGGGGCTGGGGAGAAAGAGGAATAGAGACTGGGGTCAAAGTTCCCTTTTGGGTTAAAGGAAATATTTTGGAATTAGATAGTGAAATGGTTGCACAATGTTTCAGAGACTAAAATCACTGAATTAGTTGGGTGTGGTGGCACATGCCTGTAATCCCAACACTCAGGAGGCTGAGGCAGGAAGATCACAAGTTCAAAGCCAGCCTGGACAACATAACAAGACCCTGTCTCAAAAAAATATCATCATTGAATTGTACACTTTAAAATGGTGGGGATAGTGGCATGTGTATCTTGGTTTAAAAATAAAAATGAGTTAAAACATAAATAGCAGATGTCAGGGCAGCCCTGTATTGCTTTTAGGGATGGCCCTTGGGGTGGAGAGCAGGTGGTGTGGTCCTAGCAGCCCTGTAGCTGCAGATCTGAGCAACGCAGGCAGGTGCCAAGATGCAGCAGGCAATGTGGAAATAAGGGACATTGCTCAAAAAAAAAGGACCTTGCCAGCACTCCCCTGGCCTGAGAAAATGAGGTCAGCTGTGACTCAGGCTGAAGGACAGAATGAGAAATAGAGGAACCAGGTTGGCTTGGTTTATGCACGTTTGACGTCCCATTTTCCTGGGACAGGCTTAATGGCCAGTTTTAGGAAGCCAGAACATAACACAGGTGTGAGAACAGCCTCCACTCATTGTCTCTGGGGCAGTTTATGGCTTTCATAGAGATTCAGAAAAAGAACCCACGTCTTGGGTCCAGGTATACCTTATCCCTTTCCTGGCTAAGCGTCCTTTGGCAAGTCACTTCACCTCTCTAAGCCTCAGTTTCCTCATCTGTAAAAGGAGGATAAACAGATTTGTCTTATGTGGTTGCTGTGAAGATTAAATGAATTGTAGAGAGACAGAATTTAGCATGTAGTACTTGATCAGTTAATGGTTCTTATAGTTTTCAAATCCTCCCATGTTCTCTTTTCTGCCTGACTCACCTTTTTTATGTCACCCACAGGCCCCTGCTTTTCTATCCTTGTGACCCTCTAAATTAGACTAGGAACTTTTTTTTGTGGTACTGGGACTTGGACTCTGGGCCTTCACCTTGAGCCACTCCCCCATTTTTGTGAAGGGTTTTTTTGAGATAATATCTCAAGAACTATTTGCCTGGGCTGGCTTTAAACCGAGATCCTCCTGATCTCTGCCTTCTGAGTAGCTGAGATTACAGGCGTGAGCCACCAGCACCTGGCTTAGGCTATGAACTTTTTGACCACAAAGCCTGGGTCATATCTTTGTAGCTTCCTGATACATAATGGATCTTGACAAACATGGAAAGAAGGAATGAGCGATCATTTACTATAGCTCATGAACGGTTACGTTATTTGCATTGGCAACTGGAAGGAATTCTCAGGAAAGAATATAAACTAATTCTATTTTGCGCTCCAAAAGAAATCATAAGCAAGGCTTGGTGGTACATGCCTGTAATCTTAGGAGGACTATGAGTTTGATGCCAGCCTGGGACACATAGCAAGACCTTGTAACCCCTCCCCCCCCAAAAAAAAAGAAGGATGGAGAGGGAAGGAAGAAAGGAAATAGATTCTAAAACTGAAAAAACAAAACTGAACATTAGTTTTGTCTGAAGGTGGTCACACACTCTTGGTCACTCTCCTGATTGCAAGGTAGAGTGTGTCCCCTCTTTGAAGCCTGTTGGCTCTGTGACTGCAGAACCAACAGGAGGCAGCAGAAGTAATCAGAGCCATCTCCAGGCCTAAGCCTTAAGAGGGCCTGGAACCTTCTGCCTTTTGGCTCTGGGGGCCCCAAGCTGCTGTTAGGAAGTTTGGCTGGCATGCTGGAGAGAGCATGTGGATAGACCTGCCAAGAGGAGAAATTATGAGCGTTCCCAGAGATGAAGAGATGACCAGCCACGTCCATGCTTCAGTTGAGCCTCCAGGGGACAACAACCCCAGGTGCCATGTGACTGCAGCCCCATGGGAGACCTCAAGGGAGAGGAACAGTAGAACTGCCCAGCTGAGCTCAGTCTCCACTGAGCTGTGAGATTTACACAGGGTGACTGTGAGGTTCACCAGTGCAGGGGAATTGAGACAGAGGACTAGCTAGTTGTCTCTCTGTGGTGACCAGAGAGAGTGTGTGTCAACATATAAAGAAAGGAGGCAAACGTCCAGTTAGACCGACCCTGGCTAGCTTGGAGCACTGGTGAAAAGTCCCAGGCTTACATGGCAGTCCTTGGATTCCAGCCATGCTGAGTGACCTCCCATCATTTCAGGCACACGTCACTTCTATCCTAACAGCTCACCGTGACCAAGTGCTCGCAACATACCACACCTTGTTTTAAGGGTGTCCCAGACACCCACTCATTTGTTTCAACCATCATAAGAGCTAGGCTGTACTGGTCCCTTTTGCGGATGAATACATTAAGACACAGAGAAGGGAAGTCACCTAGTCGAGGTTAGCAAGCTATCAAGTCAAGTTTGGACCATCAGCAGTGTAGCTTCTGAACTCAGGCTCTTACTCAGAGCTAATCTTAACTCTCTTCCTAACTTGCAAAGTGTCTCAGTAACCCGAAAAGTGTCTTCGTGTATATGTGGAGGTAGAGTGTGGTGTCGAGATGACCAGAGTGTGGAGTACCAGGGACCCCAAACTGGAGACAAGACTAGGGAGTGCTGCTGGGGAGTGAGGTGCAAAGACGTGTTCAGTTGGACTGGCTACCACATAGCTCATCAGAGTCGCAGGGACACTCAAGGAGACATGGGACCAAATAAATCCCCAGAGATCTCATTTTAAGGGAGGTGTCATTGAGGAAAGACACCCAGGGAATAAGAACTTGGCAGACTCACTTGAGTTTGGACACAAAGGTGACAAAGACTGCATGAGGAGAGTTGCTCACAAAACTAGACCTTTTTGCCCCAGGGAGCAGGAGATTAGGCTCTGCAGACCAGGCAGAGGACCTGACTGCATATGGCCACCACAGCGGTTTCCTTGGCATTGGGAATGATCCCTGATGAGGCATAAGTCCCTGAGAGGGCAGGGACAGGTCACGCTTAGTAGTAGCACTCTGTATAAACTCATTGGACAGTTTTCATCTTTAAGAGCAGAGAGCATGACTGTGAAAGTTTGATAAGGAAGAAAGTCTTCTGGAAAGAGACAGGAGAAGGTCAAGAGTATGGAGAGGGCAAAGCTGAGTCAGGACAGACTATGGGCAGGGGTGGAGCAGGGGATCATGGAGCGTTGCACCCGGTATAGAGACTAAGGCTCTAAGAAGTAGGATAAACAGGCCAACTTGCGCTGCTTGACAGTGCTCTGCAGGGCCCGCCATGCAGACAGCTCACTGTGGGCCCCGTAAATGAGGATACACAGGTTCTAATCCTGGCTCGACCTCTAGAAAGTTGTGTGATCCTGGGGCCACTTAACCACTCTGAGTCTGTGTTCTGACCTATATAAAATGGGGCTGGGGGTACTGGTGTCCTCCTGAAGCTATTGTGAGGCGCCAAAAAAATGTGAAATTAATTATGCAAATGGCAAGAATCACACCTCCTAGAGCTACCCAGGGAGATGGTCACTGATGGAAAGAGCGTGTCTCTGGTCTGCACCTGTGCCTAGTGCTGTGGCTGGACTCTAAGGTGGACAGATAAAGATCTGGTGTCTTCACAGAGAGACTTGCAATGTTTTCTCTTCTTCCACTCTGCCAGTCCTACCCCATGAAAGCGACAGGTACTCAGTAAATATTTAAGGGCTCAAATACATCCTAGGTCCCCTTTTCTGTTTCTTCTGACCTATATCTTCCCCCTCCCTGGAATATTAATCACCTATATGACCACTCCAAGGGTGTCCACTGCTTACCTCAGGGCACAGCCCCTGCTCTTGGCCTTCTGTCTTGAGAAAGTTTGTCATCACAAAGAAGGAATTTCCCTACAGAGAAAAAGGAGAGAAGGAAACTGTGGGGCCTTGCAGAACAGAACTACGTAACAATCATAACCCAGCTCGATATGTGCTTGGGGGCTGATCCCTAAGCTTCTAGAAACCCGAGTCCTGTGGGCAGCGTGGAATATGCCAAGGGCTTAATATCAAAGCTGGATGAGCCGTCCTGCTGGGCTGGGGGGGAGCCAAGGAACATTCAAAGGGATTGAGTAGGCATGCTCCAATCCAACCTCAAAGGCATGTCATTTTTCTGACACAGTAAAATGCCATTATATTGAGTTTCTGGAGACCTGGGGCTGCAGGGGTGGGGCGTAGGCTGCATCCTGGGAAGGCAGTTCCGATTTTCCAGGACTTAAAGAAAGGGCAAGAGGGCATCCTACCACCTGGGTAATTGATGGATTTTAATGGCCCACTGCTAGAAACAAACAGATAGCAGCATGGGCTTGAGAGGTTTTTGCCCAGCTCTCTGGGACTGCAAATGTGCCCTTTTGTCCCTGCCACTCCCCATCTGTTCCTTTCCTTTCTCCTTTTTGGTAACTCTGCTTTCATTTTTCTCTGTTGCAAATGGAGCCAGTCACACACCTCTTCTCTGTGACCCACACTTTTCCTCTCTTTGTCACCTACATCCTTCTTTCTGTATAACTATACTTAAGAATGGTCTTCCTGGAGTCTTTTTGGTTGAGAAAAGACCACCCAGACTGTGTAGAAGGGCTGGTGCTGTTTTTGTCCTTCTGAATCCAGGTAGACCTTGCTGACGTCATGGCCCTGCTTCTAAAAGCTGTGTCTACATCCCGAGTGAGTGACTCAGAACATGTTTGAAATGCACCAGGGCACACTGCTATTTTGAGAAGCCCAGTAGGACTGGGTAAAGCAAAGAATTCTCTTTGAGGTGCTGGATCTGACCCAGTTTTGCAGTTTTTAGGTTTTCTCAGTTGGGATTTTACAAAGCTTTTTAAATGGAGCCAATGTCTTTCTGGTCCTAGACTCAGGGGAGTGGGGCGAAGCCTTGGTGACAGTGACTGGGGACAAGTCCTGGAGGAAGCTGCAGGTGCTCACCTGCAAAAGAAAGGTGTAGTCCGCAGTGTCGAACACACTGTGCACTGACTTCTTCATCCCATCTTGCATGATCTCCTCTCTCACCTCTGCTATCCCTTTTACCTTGGTGTGCACAGAGCTGATGACAGGCTCTTTCCGCTGGTACAGCTTGTCACTCACCAAAGCAAAGCTAAATGCAGATAGAGAAAAGCATCACTGGTTGGTTTCCTTGGGGTAAGGGGAGGGGGCGCTGTGGTTTGTGCTGCTAGCTCTGAAGGCCACTTCTGTTCAAAGCCTAGCTCTGCTACGTGACTTGCTTCTCTGTGACTCACCTTCCCTCTCTGCAAAATGGGAACAACAGGACATGTCAGTGAGACACGCATGCGTAGTATCTGATGCATAGTGAACGTTCACCACGAGAAAGCTGTTGTCCCCAATCGAGCCATAATATTACCTAGTATAGAGCCTAATATATAGACAGCTTCTCAAATAACAAAGCCCAGCCACAGGTCAGTCCACCAGCTTTGTCCCGGGGCTCAGTAACACATCAACACCTTCCTTTCTAGGGCTGTGTTTTGCAGGTCAGCCACCTGCTTTTCAGAAACACCCACCTGCTTTATAAATAATACCAATACTTCTCTTTATGGAGCATTTAATGTATGCCCAGCGCTCTATATACATTTCCTTAAGTCCTCATAACAGCAGTAGGACATAGTTTCTGGTGATCCAGTCTTGTAGCTAGAAAGAAGAAACTTGGCCCAAAGTCACACAGGCAGACAGTGGCAGAACTGAGGTCGTGACTGGTCCACCTTCTGCCCAGAACCAGCCCTCCCCACCCCATGCTGCACGTTCTTATGCACAACATGGTTCTTCCTCTGGCTTCCTGCCTTCTAGTCAGTTCATTAGCTGTTAATACCACCCTTAGAACACGAACCAAAATTATTATGGGGGAGAGAGCAAGTGGAATTAATAACAGTAGATTCTATCCCCATTTTTCTGTTTTCCTTTTTTCCTGTTGCCCCAAATAATTAAGTTTATTTTAAATAGCTTAATAGGAAGTCAAAGTCAAGAGCTGCCTTCTGTGAGTTGACCTTGGGAAGCCAAGACAGAGTGTACTAAGACATGGTCCCAGCTGCCTTCTTTCTTTCTTTTTTTCTTTTTATGGAACGCTTCATGAATTTGCGTGTCATCTTGCGCAGAGGCCGTGCTAATCTTCTCTGTATAGTTCCAATTTTAGTCGATGCGCTGCTGAAGCGAGCACCCAGCTGCTTTCAACTGTGGCTGAGCAGTCAAATCACCCGGAGAGCTCTCAGAATTGCAGCTCTCCAGTTCTCATCCCTGAGACTGTGGTTCACACAGGGCTGGGGAGTTGTCTTTATATGTGCCTTGGTGACTCTAATGCAGTCAGGGGCAAGATCACTGGGACACTCGTTAGACAGTTCCCTCTTGGCAAGAGCACGCATATTTGAAGAAGAGCATCTCTAGTGCCCAGCAATGAAATTCTTGGGTAGATGCCTTGAAGTAACTTTCATGCATGTGCTCAGGGAGCTATATTCATGAATGTTTATGCAGCATTGTTTCTGAAAGGGAAAACTAGAAATAACCTAAATGTCCTTTAAAGAAATCCAAAGCAACACTAGGTACTCAAGCTGCTACCTATACAGGAATGTTCACAACAGCACTATTCACAATAGCCAAAAGGCAGAAATAACCCAACTGTTCCTCAAAGTTTGATGAATAGACAAAATGCAGTCTAGCCATAGAATGGAGTATTATTCAGCCATAAAAGGAAAGAAATACTGATACATTAAAATGGGAGTGAACCTTGAAAATACTGTCTGCCAGGAGAAAGAAGCCAGGCACAGAAGGTCATATTTTATCAACTATCCAGAATAGGCAAATCCATATAGTCGGATTGTTGGTTGCTGGGGGTGGGGATGAGGGAATGGGGAGTGAGCATGGGATTTCCTTTTAAAGTGATGAAAATTCTTTGGAATTAGATTGAGGTGTTTGTTGTATGCCATTGTGAATGTACTAAATACCACTGGGTTGTACACTTTTTTTTTTGCAGTACTAGGACTTGAACTCAGGGCCTTCACCTTGAGCCACTCCACCAGCCCTTTTTTTTGTGTGTGTGTGTGTGAAGGGTTTTTTGAGATAGAGTCTTGTGAACTATTTGCCCAGGCTGGCTTCAAACCGCGATCCTCCTGATCTCTGCCTCCTGAGTAACTAGGATTACAGGCGTTAGCCACTGGTGCCTAGCTGGTTGTACACTTTAAAATAGTTAATTTTATGTTATCTGAATTTAACCTCAATAAAAAAGGTAAAAAATATTTTTTACAACATAGACACACGTCTGTAGAAATATCAAAACAAAGGAATGACAAACACCAAATTCAAGATGATGTTTACAAGGGGAGAAGAAAGAATGGGATGAAAGATGAGTTTGCAGAGAGGAAAACTGGATTAGTGCTGTTTCATTTCTTAACTCTCACGGTGGTACACGGGTGTTACATTATTCACAATACGTGTTTAGTATTTCTATGACACTCATTACAAAAGAAAGATTGTACAGAAAGGTGTTGGGGTTAGAGATCCAGATTTGGGACCCAATTAGTCTGCATGATACAGAACTTAAATGGGATTCTGGAGACAAATAGGTAACACTTATTCGGTCATATGTCTCCCCCTAACACCACAACACATCTGTGACAACTGCAGTGTTTTCCTGAGGTGGATGACATTCTCCTAAGAACAACCCTATGTCGTTAGACCCACCATTGGGACGCTTACCTCTCATCTCACATTCATTCCAGAATGTGCAACGTGTTATAGGTTAGCCTTAACAGACTCCAACCCTGTCATAATTGCAAAAACTGTCTTTATATAATAAACATGCAAATTTTAAGAATTAAAATGCACCAGAAGGGCTAGGGATGTAGCTCAATGGTAGAACACTTGCCTGGCATGTGCGAAGCCCTGAAAAAAAAAAAGAGGGCAACAGACTTGAATCAAAGGAGAGAGAGAGAGAGAGAGAGAGAGAGAGAGAGAGAGAGAGAGTTTGCAGTATCCTGCCCTTTAGAAAGAATATTCTAATGACCATCCCAGTCATACACTATTGACTTTACTTGGTGACTCACATAAGCCATGTTACCTCTTGGGGCCATGGGTTTAGTCCCTGAATGAGGAGCTAACTCCTTGGTCCCTAATCAGATCTTAAATCTACAGTTGCATACATTCTATATCAGGCAAAGCCACCTGTCCCTCAGGCACTGGGACATTAAGGAGTTGGGGATCTAACTGTGTCTGGTGGGATGAGTAAAATAGAGACAAGGAAGAGGAGAGCTGGGTAGTCTGCAGAAGGAAGGGAGCTGCTGTAGGAGAAGCCAGGGCCGCCCAAGGAGCCCTCACAGGTGAGTCTGGCCAAAGGGGAGGGTATGGAGTGGCCAGGCAGGGGTAGAGTGGGGAGGAAATTTGGACTGTGGTGTTCTGAGACTGGCTGTCATTTGACTCACCAGATGTAGATGCAGGTGCCCACCAGGAAGGTGTTCTTCAGAGTCCCAAGCCATATGCTGTGAATATGAAGGACTCTCACAGTCTTATATCCACAGAGCTGGCCCCCTGCCAGCATGGCGAAAGGACTCTCTGAGCTCCAGAGGATGGAGCACCTCTTGTTGAAGTTTCCCTTTCTCTCTGTCTCACAACACTGGGGTTCCTGAGCAAAGGTAACTCTAAAGTGAAAGGAGAGCCTAGAAAGTGAACTACCTTCACATCCGTTTAACCCATGCCTTACCTGGGCTTCACTCTTAGTCCACGCTCTACTCACGTAGCCAGAAATACACACACAAGCTGGGCACCGGTGGCTCATGCCTGTAATCCTAGCTACTCAGGAGGCAGAGATCAGGAGGATGGAGGTTCAAAGCCAGGGCAAGCAAATAGCATATGCGACCCTATCTCAATAAACCCTGGTAGAGTGGCTCAAGACATAGGCCCTGAGTTCAAACCCCAGTACCACAAAAGAGAGAGAGAGAGAGAGAGAGAGAGAGAGAGAGAGAGAGAGAAAAGAAAGGAAGGAAGGAAGGAAAGAAAGAAAGAAAGAAAGAAAGAGGAAAAGAAAAGAAAGACAAGCATCTTCTGACAGGAAGGTGCTCACTCCTGAGGATGAAAGCCAGGTCAAAGGGCATGCACGATTTATATCTTCTTTCCTTTTGTCAAACCACAGAATATTGTACCATTTCACACTTCCACCTGTAAAGTAAGAATGTGCACACTGGCCTTTAAGAGGGTCTGAGATAGTAAAGGGCTTGAACAGAATGTTGGGAGCACTGGCCAGAGGGATTGGGGATATTACTGTGGAGAAGAGGGAAGACATACTGGCAGTGTGAAGGCATTTGAAACAGAAGAACAGAGGGCAGAACTGTAACTGAAGGTAAAAGACAGGGTAGATTCTGATTCAGTGTAAGAAAGAGGGCCTATCAGTTAGAGCAGTCTCAGGACAGAATAAGCTTTCCTTGTGGTTGCTGGTTGGTGGCAGTGAAGATGATTATGACAATGACGATTGTGGTGATTTCCATTTATCCCATGTACTCCCCTCCACCCTGTCTCTTTTCCATCTGCATTTAAGCACCATTTCTTATCTTAAAAATAAACCCTCCCTCCACCCACATTCTTCTACCACCACTCAGTGCCTCTCTCCTCCTCCATACCAAGTGTTTAGAAAGAGTGAGTCACCCCATCCATTTCCGCATCTTCATTCACTCCTCCACCCACTCCAGTCTGGCTCCTGCCCCCCCCACCCCATTTCTCCAGTAATCCAGCAGATACGTCATGGATTTGATCTTCCTGGAACTCTCAGCAGCCATTGACACCATTGGCCATGTACCACTTCCCTCTCCTTTCCTTAGCTTCCAGGAGTCCATTTTCTCCTGATTTCTTTGGCTCTCTGTGGCTACCCCTTCTCAGAATCCTTTGGGGATTTTGTGCTCCCCACCCACTAAAGGTCAGTGATACTCACAGGTGTGTTGTAGGCCTCTTGCTTTCACCTATCTCTTCTCTTGCAGCTACTTCCGTAGTTCTAGTTACTATCTATAGGTTGGTGATACATGATACATCCCTATAGATCAATAGTTTATATATCCAATGACCCATTCAACATATATTTATATGCCCCATAGACACCTCAAGTTCAGT